TAATAATAATAATGAATTTCAGAGATCTATTTCAGTAGTTAACTAATGATTTCAATGTGTGTATGAGGTGAATAACTGACAAAATCAACATAAAACCTGACACACAACTGTATCGGTTCAAGTTGTCATACTTCACAATAGGTATACAAAGAATAGGTGGTTAGAAAAGGTGTGATATCTTAGAAGATAAAATAATATGAAAGAATAAACAATCTGATGAAAAAGGTTAGTTTGAATGTCAACAAGTGAATACGTCTGTTCGACTGACCAAGACGAATCAACAAATTGTCTTAATGATGGATCGTGGCTAGCAGTGGAATTCAGGATGCACATTTCGTTCTATTTGGGACTCGTCAACTGGATGTACCTGCTTCCCAGTGAAAGATGTTGTTCCCACCGGGATTCGGACACGGGAGCGATTGCTTTAAACGCAAAAGCGTTACCCACTACACCACTGAGCCATAATAGCCACTTCTTGTGCCACGATCCATCATTAATATAATTAGAACGAAGTAATATCGAGGCATCCGCAATGGAGCCCATATGCCAATAGAGACAGATCAATTCGGTCTAATCAAAAACGGTATGATATAAAAAACAATTATAATGAATTGTCTGTTCATCTCAACCATTATGTGATATTAGTCGTCCAACTAAATTATTATCAAGTGACTATAGATACATTCCAATATATTCAAAGAAAAATATACTTTCACATATGTTTCAACTTTGTGCATTCAGAACCATATAAAAATCCACGAAAGTGATTCCCTGAAAGCTATCAATGCTAACTACATGGTCTAATCAATCAACATAGATGATTCATAGATAACTACAGATCAGAGACCGTAAGCTTCCAGTTTTCTTTATGTTTTTATTTACCCCTCGGCTACTAAGTGACAGAAAGTGGACTAATGTGCAGTGTCAGCTCTCCATGATAGACAATAATCTAAAAAACAAACAGATAAAGTAAACGTTGAACTTCATACAAGGGTGTATCGGCTCAATACAAAACACTTCAGAGTAGTTACTATACAAGAAAAAATAGATAGAAAAAGAGTGATATAGAAGCAGACAAAGTTTTCTGAGGGAATAAACAGTGTGAAGGCAAAGGCTGGCACAAATATTCAGGTATTTGAAGAGATGAGGGAGTGGTGGAGAATATTTGTAGCTCAGGTGGTTGGTCTTGGTTGTATTGTGTCTCTGAGCTGGCTGGGTTGTTTAATCCTGAAGCTTTCATCGTCTTTCTACACGATATCATCAGCACTAACTTCAGTATGAAGTGAGCTGTCAATATCTCTCTGTCAGTGAGTGATTTAGTAGCTTGATCTGACGATGTGGCCTCTGATTGGTTGTTTCCTTTGATTGTCATGTCATCGACTGTATCGATTTTTCTGTTAGCTGTTCCTCTGCTTCACCTCTCACCTTTCTGTCATTTATCACTTTCTCCATTGCTTGATAGGTTGGGTCAATGTCTATACATCTTTTGATTGCTGACTGACTGACTGACTGACGTGAATGCCAAACTTTTAGGAATTCTCTGATATTCTTTGTGCTTCTTCTCTCTCTCTCGAAGATCAGCACTCCACTATCAAAATTGAATTCATGTCCATAGTTGTTATCCACGTGCAGTGAAATGAGTGATGAAATGTCATGTATGATGTTTAATAGCCAACTGGTGTTCATGTAAATGACGAATGCGAAGACGGTGACCACTTTGTCCAATGTAGTGTTGAATACAGTTATTGCAGTTGATTTTTGTAAATGATATTCGGTTTGTCCTCTTTGGTTGTTGAGTCCTTTGGTCTGCATAATAGTGTCTAGAAGCAATTTGCTAAATAGATGTGAATTTTTTATGACAATTACTAATTTATTACTAAAGTATATGGGGGGAGTAAGATGCTCGCTTAGATCTGAGAAAACGAAACCGAATTGTATCGGAATCTTTTACCTCGAAGCATACTACGAACTGGTAGAAGTCAGATTCTCTAAGAAATTCATTCAAGATTTCTTGAAACGTGAAAAAAATAAAAATTGAAAAATATATAGTACAAGAGGAGAAATGAAGCTAAGTCGTGGAATATAATTCCTTGTCCATCTTTTTCTGTATCTACAGTGCAATAAATTGATACAAATTTTCAGACACAATTAATTCACTGATCACAGATATATCAAGTAACTTCACAATATTTTGACAGAGTGATCGCATCTTCAAGCATTCTTTTATTGAGTGAGCAATAGCATTTCCAGACATCTATGAAACATACTAAAGTATTTAGGTTGCATATGTCCCTCAAAGGTGTGAGGTGAACAAGACTATCAGTATAGTTCGCCTACAATCTTATTGATAGTTAATCCTTGATTTCCTAGGGGGACAGACGGATTCCCTAACACGTCACCATTTGGCTCTCTTATCTGCAGTCTTTTCAACCTGACTCCACCGCTAAAAACAAGCTTTCATTTCCCACTCACACGACCTCCATGTCACTCTCCTCTTGAACGCTCAACTCGTTGTTTCCCAAAATAAACTTCAGAAACTCTTAAGAACACTATATCGGGAAGACAGCTTGCCCTCTTCCAATGTTTCCACCTGAACATCAAATAGGAGTGAAACATCATGACATATCTCCGCTCATATCAATGCATTTTGACAATTGTAGATATGAATCTGAGTGGGAAAATATGAAAATCTTAGACAAAGGGAAATACAAAGTATGTTAAAGATTTTTAGAAGTTTAGTATTCAGTTCAGTCAGTGAATAACATAGATAACATAGATAATGACACTGACTCAATCTATCACCCGAAACAAACAGGTCAAAGTTGATGTCTGCAGGACAACCAAGTGAAATATATGTGGAAACAATGACAAGATTTTCGGAGAAACACCTAACCACACTCAAAAGTCATCAGGACAAGCTACTAAATCATTTTTGGAGAAAATCACATAATTCATTTCTTCCTGGAGTTGATGCTGATGATGTTATATAGGATGAGAATGAAAGCTTTACGATAGAGCCATCCAGCTCAGAGAGCACAACACCAACAAAACCATCCTATTGTACTACAAATATTCGCTATCATCACAGAAGTATGCGCTTTCAAGGCTAATTAGAACAAGTAGTAACTCACTGACAATCACATTTGAACAAACTGCATTCAATAAACTGATGGAACAATGAAGATCACAGAAGAAGATTGGGATTTCACCAACGATGACCATTTATGTCTGATGTCTTGTCGCACAAACTCGAAGATCTACAGGCAAAAACCAACAAGTTGACAGAAGAGGCAGAGAAGCGAAGGGATCTGGCACTTCCTTCACATGAACGTACAGAACACAGAGGTGATGAAGATACCCAAACAACAACACCATCAACAGCAACAACAAGCATCAATCACAACCAATGGGAGAAATGTAGACGAAGTTGTCTCCTTCACCTACCTGCATAGGCAACATCGTTTCAACTACACACGGTGGCGGCGGTGGTGATGGTGGAGGCACAGATGACGACGTCATAGCCAGTCAGCATCGGAGAGACAGCAAGACACACCTTCCTGCATTATTCTGAAATAATCAGTGTGGAGATCTACTACACTCCACTCCACTCCACTCAACTCAACTCAACTCAACTCAACTCAACTCAGCATCAAGAACAAGATGTGAATTTGTTTTAACACCGATTCAGTCAATTAAGTCAGTGCTTCTATGTGATGGTTGAGAGACTTGGTGGCCCTTGAGGCGAAGCATTTCCAACAAACTGCAGATATACATCACATGAACAGCTGTCACCTACACTCACTCGATACTGACACTGAATATCAGATGGATGGCGAGAATAATAAGAATAAGTAAGAAGGGTGTGTGGCTAACTGGCTGGCTGGTTGGTAACGAACCAAGGAAGCAAGAACTCAACAAATGTGCAGGAGAAGAGAGTGTAGATGGATTGCATGGGTTGGATTGGGTCGGACATGTACTGAGAAAGAAGGACGGTTTGTGGACATCACGTGCTGGGCTAGGGCAGGCTGTCGAGTGGAAGGTGATTGGGAAACGACTAGTTGGGCGTCCGATGTGAGGATGACATGGAAGAGATCATGTGAGGGGGAAATGAAATCTTGTGAGCAGTGTTTTAGTCAGTTTGAAAAGACTGTAGAGAAGAGAATGAAATGGTGACGTGTGAGTGAATCCCTATGTTCCACTAGGAACCCAAAGGACAAATAATAATAATAATAATAATGAAGATTAAAAATAGTTTTTTTGTTGGGAAGTTTTATTAAATTGGGGGCTATAATATTCGTTTGTTGTACACTGTGCTCGCATTGAGTGCTTATATGTTGATACTAGGCGCTCTACGTGACCTTGGGATTACCTGGTTGTTGCTCACGGAATTTATCGACCTTTGGTGACCTAGATATGGCTGGTATGAGTGCTGCCGCGGTTTAGAATTTCATTCCTCCTGCAATCGTCACTCAGTATCAAGAGATATCTGCCAAACGATGGCTACCTCAAATAGTCAAACTGAGTAAATGAAAACGGCCTATTAAATAATCATTCAATCTTTTTAATCTAATGGGGGTGTAAATAAAAAGGAAATGATTCACAGGTTTAACTGTTGTTTATCGGCTTTGATAAACAAGTAGTATTCATAATGGACTGATATCAGTTGGGGAACTATTGAAAATCTGGGAGCACTGGACAGCTGTTTCATTCTAGTTTGGAACTCTTCAGCAGTACGCACCCATCACCCGGCTAGGGATCAAATTCAGAACCTACAGGTTTCACTGGGTCGGTTTTCAGTGTTTCATAATTTCCAACTTCTGTCAACTCACAACATACAGCGACTGTCACTCAAGGTCTTCAGTTAGTATCCACTTCACTTACGAATGATTGATGCCATAAGTCATGGCTTCTCATTAAAGCTTCCTCATATCAATATTACGTTCATTTCTATATAGTATATTAATTAACTGTCGGTACTTTATGAAAATTGATTCCATTGACTCCGTCTAGATCTACATTATGTATTGTTCAACATTTTAATGCTTTCAAATAAAAGCTTGAAAAATCATCTACATAAAACATGAAATATTTTTATGAATAGGAAATAATATTCACATTATAACTTAATAAACTAGTCAAATATGTTAGTTAGCTAAAACATTTTTATTCAATCATACTTATCAATATAGTTGAGATGATTGAATAGAATTGAGATCGTACATTACGGTATTGTCTTATTCAGTAAGAAATCGAGGAAATGCATAAATTTATTAATGATTATATAATCATTGATTTTATTTCGATACTGTACCATTGTTATTAGCTAGAAAAAGGAAGAAGAAATAAACCTATATAAAGATAGGCATACACATACATGGTAGGTAAGGAATGTTACAGTCTAGTTAAATGAAAAGATGAACAAAAGTTATTCATTGATTTCAAACATCAATCAAACCTATTCATCATGATGATGATACTTGATTGAATAACATGCACCTGAAAGTTCTTAACTGATCTTGTGACTAGCCGAAGAATCTATGAAATACGTTTCATTTCATATTGAAACTCATCAGTTGGAAGTAATTATGTGCCCCCCAGTGCCTAATGATATTGTTATCACTGAGGCTTGAACCCTTCGCTTCAAAAGTCAGAGTGTTATACACTATGTCACTCACTGGAGAACAATACCCACTTCTTATGCAACAGGTATTAGTTGTTGTAATAATACTTAATCACTAGAACGTTATAATTAAGATGAGAATAATGTATTCACATATCTCTCAGTCGTTATACTGAATTCTTTATCTTGTATCTCATTTCTTTATCGTTTGATTTGCTCAAATGAAGTGTGGCAAGTTGAACCGTTATGCAATAATCCCTGATCGTTTTGTTTATCTTATTAGTCTGTTTCAGTAGAAACTTGTGAAACTCTAGACCGCTCTCAGTAATGTTTTTTTTTGATTTACTGTCAGGTAAGTCATTTCTTACTATATTATTTTTTTTAACTCTCGTTTACAAATACAACCATATTTTGCCCCAAATTTGCAGGTGTCAACCTCTTAAGCGTATGACATAGTCTTGATACATCAAATGACCATCAAGATGTTACATTTTACGGTGGGTGTGGGTTTCATATCCGCAAGTGTCAAGTGATTTTTCGAAATTGTTATATACCAACACTTGAAAGATAACAATGAACCTCAATCTTGAACAGGCGTATTTATTAGACTATGAGACATATTTGTTGTGTAAAGGATAGTCAAATGATAATCAATATGATGCTTCCCCTCTCTGATTCACTTATATTTAGATTGGGATGAGAAGTCCTGACTAGACAATCAGTGTGAATACGATCAAGGAGTAGTAACATGTCACGAATTTACATGGTAGTCGTCGAGCAAACTTCTTGGTGATTGAAGTGAAATAAAGAGTATGGTGAGTAGTCGGACCTTATAGGTGAGTTGGTAGAGAAGAGCACTGGGCCCGTAACCCAGTGATCACTGGTTCGAATCCGGCCGCTGTCCAGATTTTCATCTCACCTTCAATCGTCACCCAGTATAAAGATATAATATTTCAATTTACATGCCGAATTATCACAAAATATTGATAATTCCTAACAAATGAATGAGAATATGATGTTGCTTGTAACATTATGACTCGGTAGCCTAGCAGATAACGCTGTGGCGTTTAAAACAATCGGTCTTGCGTTCGAGTCCTAGTGAGAGGAGGCAGGTACATTCAACTAACTAGTGAGTCTTAAATAAGATGAAACGCGCGTCCTGCATTCCAATATTAGCTACTATCCATCATTAATATTAACTCAACATAAAAGAAACTTATGAATATGTCAACATAGCGATACTTGAAGAAGTCATTCCAATGATGCATCTTTGGTCTTAAAAAAAGTGTAATTGCTCATGTATTCCATCGAGATTGCAGATACACCTTGCTGACGAGCTCTAGAAAGCATGAAACTTACCTTCTGCTAAGCTTCCTGCTCATTGCCTCCAATTAACAAACATCCATCAAAATGAACTGTGATGATAAGCTTTCTAACTTGGTGGCCACATTACAAAATAATCGACAAGATTCAATTAGGAATAAACATCATGAGACTGGGTTTCTCTCCAGTGACTAATCAACCAATCACTGTCTATATTTCTCCTTCTCTGATATCTCCTTAACATTTGAAAAGGAATAAACTAACGACATAATAATAATGAAAAAAAATTCATATAACTCACATTTTATATTTTCTGAATAATGTGAAAATATTTCCTCATCGTTATAATCATCATCATTATCATTTAAGTGTAGGCTATTTCTAATGATTGATTTATCATATTTATGTGTACTGCTTGATACAGTCGAGTCTGGGGAATGTCGTAAAGCTGTTATACGATCACAATGCCGACGACCACCACCAAGTGATCGAACAATAACACTCTCTTCCGCCTCTGTACCATCATCAATATCAACTTCATTCAATTTATCATAGTGATTATTATTATTGTTATTACTGTTATTCCAAGTGAATTTTTTCTCTTCTCTAGGTGAATTAGAATCTGGTGTACGTGAAATTTTTGGTCGACTTTCAAAAACACCTTGATCTTCTTGTCGATTGACAATAATTTTTTGACTTTTCTTCCATTTACATCATGTGTATGAATTTCTTTACATAAATATCCATTGACTGTAGGTGTTTTACATCTAGGAGTTATTTCTATTGATAATTTAACAATAATAATAATAATAATAACAACTGTTTCAATATCAATTTGATTACATAATTTCAATGAAATAAATCCGAAATAACTGTAAACAGTCAAGAAGGTAATGATGACATTCATAGACTTTCATGTAACAGTATGTAAGAGTTACACTTCATAATCACGTACATAAATGAATGCTAACAATTAGACTCTGTTTTATGAATAGGTAAGTCATTGAAATATTGGGTACTATAATTATTATTTATCCCTTGGGTTCCTAATGAAACATAGGGATTAAGTAGCACGTCTTCATTCCACTCTCTTCTCTGCAATCTTTTCAACTTGGTTCCACGACAGACCAGAAGCTCTCATTTCTTCCTCGCATGATCTCCTCCATGTCATCCTCGGCACCGATGCCCAACTCACCGTTTCCCATCTGGGTTCCACTCGAGTGCCTGGCCTGGTGCGTGATGTCCCCAGTCATAAGTGAAAAAAAATATAAGATCTCATCACTAGCTTAGTCTCCTAGCTCAGTTGATAGACTACTAGTTCGAATCCTGTAGCGTATCAGATGTTCATTTCAACTAGGATCATTCATAATCCAGTATAAATAATACTTTATAGATAATGTTTAGGTTTCTGAAGCTACTAGGTTTCAGATATGATCTCATTAATTCTTTAAAAGTTTGATACTATGGAACAGTATGAAGAAGACAACTTCAAGAATGAGAGGCAATAGCTATCTGGTACAACTGTATTATTACGAATTACTAGTAGAAGTAAGTGTTTAACTGTTCTTGATACAATAATTTGTCTTCACAATTCACACGACAGTTAAATTCACTGAATACACTGTTTGAGTTATTCGATAGTTTTGCGGGAATGATAAAGTCGGTACGATTTTCTAAACACATTTCATTGCCTGAAGTTAAATAAAGTGGGAATAGTTTTTAATGTCTATTGGGATATAAAGATGTCTCGAAATTACCTGTGTTCAGATTATAGTAATGATGGATAGTGGCTAGCAGTGGAATCCAGAATGTGCATTTCGTCCTATTTGGGACTTGTCAGCTTGATGTACCTGCTTCCCTCCCAGTGAGTGATGTTATTCCTACCGGGATTCGGACTCGGGAGAGATAGCTTCAAATGCCAAAGCGTTATCTACTACACCACCTAGCCACAATAGCCACTTCTTGTGAGACTGGCATGGTTTGAATATGATTTCTCGTATTATGCCGTCATTGATTGGACAGAATTGGTCCATCTCCATTGGCATATGGGCTCCTGTGCGATCTCGAGTTCGAATCCCGATGGGAACAACATCATTAACTTGGAGAGAGGCAGGTACATCCGGCTGACGAGTCCCAAATGAGATGAAATGTGCATCCTGGATTCCACTGCTAGTCACTATCCATCATTACAATGATTTATATGATTTACTAAACAATAATCCTAATTTCCTTTACCTGGACACTTGATATTAACCGGAATAAATGTCCGCTTTAAAGTAGATAACAATGAAAAGTCAGGAAGCATGTATTTTTTTCAATACTGAAATGATTTCATGACCTAGTTCTTTGTTAAGTAAACAACCTTTGAGTTAAATTCTACTTTTATCAATCCGACTTTCAGTAATTTTTAATGCTCATTGGAAATAAAACGTCTTCAGATTCCATCCTTGATTGTATCTCAATTCCTCGGTTAGACAAGAGAGAATCAATATAGAACCTCAAACACAAATACATTGGTTCAACTCGCCATATTTCATAGTAGTATAAAAAGAACAGGTGGATAGAAAAAGACTGATATCAAGGTAGACAGAGTTGTTTGAGAGAATACACATTTTGGAGATAGGAGTAGGTGTCATTTTACAAAGAATTCTCAATCACTGATCCCTATCGTCTCGAGGACTCCAACCAGCCAGTTACTCTACATCTTCATTTATGGCTCAGATAATCAATCAGAGACTTTATCGACAGGCGCCAAATTTTAGTTTGATTACTATGAACCCTCTTTGAATGTAATCCAACTTCATCTAGAGCAGAACGTCAAGGTAGGCGATGGATTAGCATGCTAAACACATGTCGATGAACGTTCACAACCTCATAAATCGACTTGCCTATCTTGTCTAGTACCCTTTACTTGACCTCACACGGTGATTTTATCAAACGCAAACAATATTACGAAGACATATGTGATCAATCATCTGGAACCGCTCCATTTCTTCTGCTTTTAACGGCCATGTCACAACGGTATAATAGAACAGAATGAATTGCAGTGCAGTATACTTGTCCTTTGATAAGTAGTCGAATATCTCCCCAGCGTCACAGATGATGCAACTGGCAAATGCCAAATGGGCCTTCTGTATCCAAGCTGAGATTTCGTCAGCGACCAGTCTGTTCAGGTTAATGAAACGCTTCAGGTAAGTGAGATGGTCGATACATTCCACCAATTCACTCATCATCATTAAACTGCGAGTGGCTGTAGACCAGTCTTGGAGCATCATTTTACATCTTATCAGTCCCTCACCCTTTCTATTCAGTTACTCGGTAAATAGAAAAGGAGGTGAGATAAAAGAAGGTATAATGATATATAATACCCTTCGCTATTTCCTTTTTTAGAAGAGTATATCGCATTGAGTTGACCTCTTCAACCAATCTGATATTAACAGGTAGGCTCACGTGCATTTTGTTGAAACTTCGAAGTAACACGATTGGTTGTGAAAGGTTCCAGGAAGTTAGGGTTCAATCTTATTACACACTATAATGATATTACAGATATACACATAAAGAGATTGACAATAGTTCCGACTTATATATCATTGACAGTGTTATCTAGATGACAGAGATTTGAAGTATAAATAGACGTTTAAATTTGGGTTTCATGAGTTCAGTTGTCACAGCATCTTCAGACTGAAGGATAAGCAGATGAAACTATTTGCAATCTGTGAAATCGATGTGCTGGCTATCATTATGTCCACAGTTTGACCTGTCTCAATTAACTATTGCCCCTATCTCCTCTTTATTCTTTCTTCAGGGCTCATGTTCATTTGCGCATTCAGTGAGGATCCTTATTATACATCCTAGATGAATAAATCCAAAGGAGCAGTTGATTAAGACATACGAGGAACTTTATCCTTGGTATATAGCAAGAAACTTGGGCAGTGTGGTAGGTTGTAATTCCAGATTAGTCTGTCTATCAGTAATGTCACACAATGAAGAAACAGTATCATTTACTGGATAAAGACGTTTCAGACACAATTTATTGGCCATATTCAGATCAGGTAAATCCAGAACTTTGAGACACAGTTTATATATTCCTAATTTTCTCTCCTTCTCTGTGATGAAAAGGGTAGTAGACGTTTCCATGTATCTAAGATAGGTGCAGAATCATTTCTATCATTTCATGTATTCGGTGTTGACTCCATCGACAAACATACGATTACCAATCTCTTCCTCACTCCGCCCAACTTTTTTCAATACTGTCGCTTTATCCCACCCTAGTGTGATTGTGTGTGATTTCATGTAGACCTATAGACGAGCTTGTCTCTAAATTTCTTATCTTATTAGGATCTAATAATCTTGAATTAGTTCAATCGACCCTGGTCGACTACTTTCACCCTGAACTTTTCACCTTGACCTCGCAATCGCTGCAAGGGATTTGATAAACCAGATTATTTGGCTTAATTGCATCGAATAAGGCCTTTTAACCTATAAAGCTTGTTTCTAAGTGAGTTTTTTAGTTTAAACGCTAGCCACTTCAGTGTCAGCCAGCCTTATTTAGGAATTCTTAGTAATGCTTCTAAGGTGCCTTCCTTCGCGTGGTAACACAGCAGAGGCTTTGAATTCTCTCTCAAGCCCTGTCATCCGTTATTGCCTTCAGTAGTGGAATTATTATTAATAGCACCTGTATTACTACCACTCTTACCATTGATAATGTTTTTTTTCGATTTCTTATGAATTTACTGATAAATTAAGGTGGTTAACTGTTGAGAGGTAAGGTATTCTTGATGTGCTTAATTTCTTGTCGTAGATTTTCTGGTCTGCTAGTAAGCTTCTTCGCCCTATCACTCATGCATGTGACCAACCCTACTTTAACTGAGATGATGTAGGAGAATTCGAAGTCTTAGTAGCCATTAGAATAGAACAGTTTTCTATAGACAACAGTCTTGAGATTTCCGTCTTGTGTTCGTTTAATCTTGGAATCCAACATTACTAGCTCACCTTCGTCACTTTCTAAGTCACAGTTAAATTGGATCGCATTTACTACTGAATTTATATGTGCCAAGAACTTATTGACGTGTTCCGATTTCGGTACCATAAACGTATCACCTATATATAGCAACCATATCTACTAGCCTTGTCATCATAAAGAAGGAGAGAGAATTAGAACTATATAAACTCTGTTTCAAAGTTTTGAAGTTACCTGATATGAATATGGACAATAAATTGTGTCCGAAACGTTATCCAGTAAATGATGCTGTTTCTTCACTGTGTGATAGTTCTAATAAACAGACTAAATGGAACTACAATCTACCACAGTGCCCAAGTTTTACTCGTATATTAATGCACCATTGATATCGGTTTTCATTCATGTCACTAGGAGTCTTGATTCCTATTATCTCGACGATCCTAACAGGAAGTCTACACTCCTTACACGGTTCAGATCACAATCAAAGAATCCACGGAGTGTTGTCACGTCTTAGTTTAGCCAACCTTTGCTTTATTTCAGTCCAATCTTACTTTGGATACCACTGAATGTTGAGGTAAATAATGGCTGAGTATACACAACACATTTCTAGCCACATCAGTCAGTGAGGGTTCGAAACCTAATCGATCGAATTGCCTCCTCTGTCTAGTACCCTTCACCGGACCTTCACACTATTCACACGGTGATTCAATCATATGTGAGAAATACATTCGATGGTCATATCTTACAGCCGAATTTAATAAATAGCCGAGTATCTCATCTACACTAAAGTTGATGCAAGTTGGCGAATACCAAACGAGACTTCTGTATCACAGTTGAAATTTTGTCAGTAACCGAAGATAAAATAAACCAATGAAATAAATGACTGGCTAGAAGACATTTACACTGATCAGCAGCTGAAAAGTTATTCAAGTTTCAGAAATGTTAGTTTGAACAGAGCCATTAATTAGAGGATAATATTGTAATAACATTAGTAAATTGCAACGCTATGCATCATCATAGAACACATCATGGAATAGAAATCAAATGTCTACCTCAACTTCAATTTTGAAAACACCCTCGACAGCCTCCATCGAGAAGTAATTTAGCAGGCAGCTGCTTCAACACTACGGTTTGAGCACCACTAACCTTTATCAAACTCATTCACAGCTCTATGAAAACACCACATGCCAAGTGATCCACAATGGAAAGCTCAGAGACGCCTTTGAAGTAACGACAGGAGTAAGACAAGGCTGCAGCCTACAACCACCCATCATCTTCCTGATTAGGGGAACTTAATCATGCAGCAAACAGTGAGGAGCGAGAAGAAAGGGATACACTGGACCGATGAAAAGACCCCACAAGAAGATTTGGATTTCGCTGACGATTTATGTTCAATGTCGCACAAACTCGAAGATCTACAGGCAAAAACTAACAAGTTGACAGAAGAAACAGGGCACCGAAAACAAAACTTCAACTGAACGTAGAGAAGATAGAGGTGATGAAGATACCCAACCAACACCAACACCAACACCCAACAACAACAACAACAAGCTCCAATCACCATCCACATGCGAAACATAAAGGAAGTAGTCTCTTTCACCTAACCACCCAACCACCCACCCAACTAGACAGCATACTCTCAACTACAGGCGGCAACGGTGGCACAGACGACGATGTCAAAACCATGATCGGAAACACAGAAATACAGGACTTGCTGTATTAATCTGAAATGATCAGTGTGGAGATCTACTGCACTGCACTGCACTCAGCATAAAGTGTGAACAACATCCGGATTCGCAACACCAATTCAGTCAAGTAAGTCAGTGCTGTTATGTGATGGTTGAGAAACTTGGCATGTCACGATAAGCATTTGTAAAAACTAGAGACATTCATGAAGAGATGCTGCCTACGCTCACTCGATACTGACAGTGAAGATTAGATGGATGGTCAGAATAATGAGAATAAGCAACAAGGAACTGTGGCTGGCTGTCTGGCTGGCTGGTAATGAACCAACCAACAACCTATCACGTGACAAATATGCATGAGAAGGAAGTGGAGATGGATTGGGCGTACACTGAGAAGGCCGACTAGGGACATCATGTGTCAGGCCAGGTCGTCGAGTGGGATCCAAATGGGAGACAACGAGTTTGGCTTTCGAGTTGAGAATGACATGGAGGTGATGATGTGAGGAAGAAATGATAGCTTGTGGGTAGTATTGGTGTCAGGTTGAAAAGACTACAGAGAAGAGAGTGCAATGAAGACGTGCTACCGAATCCTTATGTTCCACTAGGAACCCAGGGAAAAATAATAATCATAATAATAGATGTTGTACATCTTTTCAGCCTTTCTGTGACAAAATAAAACAATTTTTTGTTGAAGTCGACTCCATACACGGAACATTACATACTGTACAATGAACACTTCCAGTTCTATTTCAAATTTCTTCAGATAAATTTCTTTTAGGGCAACAAAATACTCAACATAAAATGATCAAAGAAGAACTGATTTCTTACTGTAAAAGTAAAAAAGTGTTTTCCACAATGCTACTTCATATCAAGGTCTGTTTATAGAAGGTTTCGTACATTTGATGATAATTTCAGATAGGAAGCAATAAAAATGATCTACTGTTGTTATTATGAACTAAACTTTCATTCTTCTCTAACAATAATTTGTACAATATTCTCAAAATTACTATAATTCAATGATTAATGGATCGTTTGCAATAATGACAGTGTATAGATGATATGAATAATTTCATTTAGTCTTATCGGTGATATCATTGTTTAAATGGTTATACTCAGAACATTCCAATTCAATGTTCACATTCCTTTGCTCAACTGCTTACTTATTACATTCTCAGTTTGCAAATAATAAAAACTGTCATTGATAAAATATTATTTGTAACTTACGATGCCTATCGCCTTAAATCCTTTAAGTAGATTTATATGTACATAATCTGTTAGTAGTTGGAATATTTCGGATTCATATTCAATTGATGAGTCGTAAATAGGACGAAGCGTGCATTATGGATTGAATTGCTAGCCACTATCAAGCAAATTACGTCAAACCTAATCTTCATGCAATATAAGACATCCGTTCTGAAGGCTATGTGCAACAAAAGTTATGAGTCTGTTCCAATGGAAATCAGGAACATCTGGGTGTAGAGTCCTATGCAGGACGAAATGCGTATTCTAGATTCTCTCGTTAGCTACTACTAAGTAAATCATATTGTATAGAAACTATTGCTGTATAAATAAAAAGGAAGTGATACAAATCAGTGAGAACTGAAGGTTTAATTAATAAACATCAATCAATCTGTTGTTGATAGTCATTTATGTATAACAGAATATCCAAAGTAATTAGTAGAAGGCTTTTGCCATCTGACTCCAAAAGCAGCAGAATATCCAGGGCCTCAAAAGTATGTAAAACTTCGAAGAAGCCAATAATCTTCACTAAATACTACAACGAAGGAAGTTGCAATTCAATCAGTTGGACCATATATATGACTGAACACCTTTTCATGTTGGAATCACCATCATCAGCTACGAGGACCTCGCAGCTGAATTGGTAGAGCACACAGCCGGAAACACATTGGTTGCTGTTTCGAATCCGACCGCGGCCCAAATTTTCACTTCATCTTCAACCATGACCCAGTATCAATACTAGTCTGCCAGACCACAATTATCTCAGATAGTCAAAATGATAAACATACAGATAATTTTAAACTAGGTATTACATAACATGGAATTAGTTACCTTCTGTAAAGCTTTGTGTAATCGTTGCTAGACTGTCACGCAAGTTGTACTGATTACCCATCTCTTCATTGAAGTGATTTGTTAAATTTGAAATACGTCTGTAAAGGAATTCACATAAAAGAATGTTCAGAAAAGGTATGAACTATAAGAAACTGCAAAGATATCATTTTCAAAGAAATACAACAGTTAAACAGAAGCAAGGATGTCTATCAGGAAGAAAATATTTATCTCTACTGACCTGATAAACAAATAATACAGTTTAGAAGTAGTATTCATCGTCGACTGACATCAGTTGGGAGAACCATTGAAAAACTGGGAGCACTGGACAGCTGTTTTGTCCTAGTACGGGACTCCTCAGCAGTTCGCACTAGGATGAAACAGCTGTCCAGTGCTCTCAGATTTTCAATGGTTCCCCAACTGATGTCAGTCCATGATGAATACTACTTCTAAATACAGTTATTATTATAATTTGATATGCTAGTAATTCTCCATTATTAGACTGGATACGATTGATCGGCCTCTGTTGGCGATAAGTTTCTTTGCAGATAACTCGATATTGCTTCAATACTAATTATTATGACTGATTTGGTTGTGGCCAGCAGTCGAATCCAGGACTTGCATTACGTCGCATTCAGGACTTGTCAGCTGCATGTATTTGTAATCAAGTGAGTGACGTTGAATATGCTGGTAATATCAAGGCATTTGTATAGGAACGTCGTCATGCATTCAATTCCCTTGACAAATTTGAAGAATGCAAAAACAGAGACAATTGCAGAATAAAATGAGCTCATTTTATTTCATGGCCTTTCATCAGTTGCGAACAACCTACATTGTTTGTGATAATATGAATCACACACCAAAGTTATCCGAAACCTTCAATCGAGATCATCCAAATATTAATTTTACAATGGAATACGAAAATGAGGATAAATTTAATTTTTAACACCTAAGTAGAAGACAGAGATGTGGTGATATACTTGGGAAAACTATACATACTTCACTGCAATAATTTTTATCCTGTCAGCAATCAGCGTGGTTTAGTCAGGACGCTATTCACTAGAAGAAGAACGCTATCCTCAAAAGATGAACAAATAGAATTCGAGATAATTGAGAAGACTCTTATAGAAAATGAATATACGAAGAAACTCATCGTGAAGCATGAAAAAGAATTAATTGAGAGACCAAAATATCCAACCGTCAGAGAAGAAGCCTGTTTTCCTTCGTCTTCCATTCAAAAGTGATGAGACATGTGAAAGAATAGACAGAAGAATAAAATTGCACTGACAAGCAGCTTCCCTGCTGCCAGACTGATCTCAGTTAAACAACACATTATGCTCAATAACACATTGGAAAGTAGACAAATACCAATCTCACGTCACCTTCAACTGCGTATATCAATTCACCTGTGCTGGTAGAAGCAAGTACATAGGATGGAGTAACAGATGGGCGTCTACTCAATTTTATGAGCATATCCCAAGAAATTTGTCTGGATGGTAACAAGGTATTCAACAGCATAATCTCCAGGCCCTTGATGGAAACAGGACATCATATAAATGTTTCTCAGGATAATCAACAAACAAAGAACACCACATTTATTACCGTTTGAGAAAGCTCTCGCTATCAAACATTTTCAACCCAACCTATGTACTCAGATGGAGACTGTAATTAACCTCTCTTTGCCTTGGTAACTGTATATAGTTTTTTCTTCGCATGTGAATGTATATATTCTTCCCTTTCCTTTTGGTTGCATCACCTATCCATAAATTACTTACTGACTGTTAATCACTTAATCATGTTCAAGTTTTTCATATGGTTACGTTACCTATTGGCTCTTAAATAGTCCCTACTTTTACACTGATTTTTGTTTGTTGTCCCACCCACCCACCACCACCATCACTCTACATCTCCAGAATTTTCCATCGCATCAGATATAGATTGCCATTGATTTCGACTAAGAGTTGTAACTATTATTCCTGTGTTTCCTTGACTCACTCACTCACTACCACCTTATTATTAATCCTGGATTTCAAATCTCCATTTATTTCTATGTGTTTAAACTATGTTATGTTATTATTACTACTAATACCAATTTGTTTCAATTGTAGGCTAATTGCAGTTGATGAAAGACCATGAAATGGAATGAGCTCATTTTATTCTGTAAATGTCATGTCTTTTACATCTTTCAAATTTCTATAGGAACCCATCTACTAACATAAGTTGCGCATTTCAACTAAGCAAAGCAACAGAAAATCACAAGTATGAATAAACAATATATGAAAAGTTTTTTTGAGAATGGTATCGGTGAAGAGTGAATTCTCTGCCTGGGTGGTTTCATTCACAGATTACTATCAGCCAGAAAACCATTGAATACCTGAAGGAGCAATAGCAACTATATATTCCTAAGTCGAGAGTCTTTATACTAAGATAAATATGATATAATATCGCTAGTGTACAAAGATAAGCAATCTAAAAGACCTATAAAGCAATTCGTATAGTATTGATTACTTAAACGATGTCAGTTTCATTCTCTACAATCTAACCAATAGAATTTTCTAGACCAAAAACATGATTCTTATTTTTTTCCCCTTAGGTTCATAGTAGAATATAGAGATTCAGTAACACGCCCCCATTCCATTCTCTTCTCTGCAGTCTTTTCAACCTGACACCATGACTACCAACAAACTATCATTCTTTCTGCACATCATCTCCTCCATGTCATTCTCAACTCGGAAGCCCAACTCGTTGTCTCCCATCTGGATCCCACTCGACGACCTGGCCTGACACATGATGTCCCTAATCGGCCATCTCAGTGCGCGCCCAATCCATCTCCACTTCCTTCTCATGCATATTTGTCACATGATAGGTTGTTGGTTGGTTCATTGCCAGCCAGCCAGCCAGCCAGCCAGCCAGCCAGCCAGCCAGCCAGCCAGCCGCCAGCAGCCAGCCAGCCAGCAGCCAGCAGCAGCAGCAGCCACCACCAGCCAGCCAGCCCAGCCAGCCAGCCAGCCAGCCAGCCAGCCAGCCAGCCAGCCAGCCAGACAGACAGACAGACAGACAGAGTTCCTTGTTGCTTATTCTCATTATTCTGACCATCCATCTAATCTTCACTGTCAGTATCGAGTGAGTGTAGGCAGCATCTCTTCATGAATGTCTCTAGTTTCTTACAAATGCTTATCGTGACATGCCAAGTTTCTCAACCATCACATAACAGCACTGACTTACTTGACTGAATTGGTGTTGCGAATCCGGATGTTGTTCACACTTTATGCTGAGTGCAGTGCAGTGCAATGCAGTGCAGTAGATCTCCACACTGATCATTTCAGATTAATACAGCAAGTCCTGTATTTCTGTGTTTCCGATCATGGTTTTGACATCGTCGTCTGTGCCGCCGTTGCCGCCTGTAGTTGAGAGTATGCTGTCTAGGTGGGTGGGTGGTTGGGTGGTTAGGTGAAAGAGACTACTTCCTTTATGTTTCGCATGTGGATGGTGATTGGAGCTTGTTGTTGTTGTTGGTGTTGGTGTTGGTGTTGGTTGGGTATCTTCATCACCTCTATCTTCCCTACGTTCAGTTGAAGTTTTGTTTTCGGTGCCCTGTTTCTTCTGTCAACTTGTTAGTTTTTGCCTGTAAATCTTCGAGTTTGTGCGACATTAATAATCATACCTCAACATTATCACACTTCTTTCGATATCTGAGTCTTTTAGTTTTATCACTTTCAGAAACATTAGTGATGATGACTTTGATGGAGACTTAATTTCATCGGTAAATATTTTTTTTTCAAAACAACATAGTAAACGCTATTTAGAAATATATGTTAAATCTTGTGAATCTCTATCAGCCGCTGTTGGCATTAGGGAGTAGATGGACTAAGCTGATGAGTCATAGATAGGAAAAAATGTGTATTATGGATCCCACTGTCAGCCATTATCTATCACTAACTACTTAAGAACTTTTCATATATGCTAATGCTTCGCTCATATCAATTGTTTAATTACTTCATATTGGCCTGGTGTTAAAAATATAAACTTGACTAACGTGTGCCTTTTATAGCTCGGTTTACTGTTACTTAGATGGTGTAATCCGTGTCAATTTGATAAGTTTTTGGCTGCATCTGAAAATAAAACCCTCATGGCGTGGCTAGGGAAAGGAAAACTGAAGTCATTACGAATTTTCATGCTGTCGGTTTAGATCAAAACTGATCATTTAGTAGATAGGATTTTAAAGCGTTCAAAAATACCTGTAACATTCAATAGAATTTTTCGTACTCAAATATTACGCTCAGATGAGGCTATGAGAGGTAAAAAAAAGTAAGCGTAGCCTTTGTGAGCAAAAAGGGTTTTTATGCAGTCCTTATTTACGCCTTGGTCAGAGAAAACCTAAACGTGAATATAATCAATAGGTAGTAACTTATCATGAATTTATATGGTAGTCGTCCAGCAAAACTCTTGGTGATTGAAGTGAAATAAAAAGTATGGTCAGCAGTCGGGCCTCGTAGTTCACTTGGTAGAGCAATGAGCCGGTAACCCGGTGGTCACTGGTTTGAATTCGCCCACAATCCAAATTTTCACTTCACCTTCAATCATCACCCAGTATAAATACTAGTCTACCAAACTACGGCTATCTCACACTCAGATAGTCAAATGATAATCAATATGATGCTTCCCCTCCCTAATTCACTTACATTTAGATTGGGATGAAAAGTCCTGACTAGACAATCAGTGTGAATACGATCAAGGGGTAGTAACATGCCACGAATTTACATGATAGTCGTCGAGCAAACCTCTTGGTGATTGAAGTGAAATAAAGAGTATGGTGAGTAGTCGGACCTCGTAGGTGAGTTGGTAGAGCAGAGCACTTGGCCGGCAACCCGGTGGTCACTGGTTTGAATCTGGCCTCTGTCCAGATTTTCATCTCACCTTCAAGCATCACCCAGTATAAAAATATAATATTTCAAGTTGATTTTCATCATGAATTGACATCAGTTGGAAAATCAGGATCAGATTCGTCAGCAGTGCAAACTCATGATTCCCTCAGGGATTGAAAGCAGAAATTTCAAGTGATTACGTAATCATTGAGTCACTGGGTCAGAACCTACTTCTGTCAGTTCGTGATACAGCGCAGCCTTCATTCAATGCTATCGATTTGGCTTATTCCACTCATCAAGACGTCTTTTCAGACCTTCCATAAGTCTCATCTCATCTCAATTCTCGGTGGAGTTGTACGTACGCACTAGTGATAATGAAACAGTTGTTCAGTGGTTCTTCAAATGGTGTCAGTCCATGATGAATACCAACTTGAGACTGATAAAATCCTCGAAACCCTCAAAACTGAATGACATGTCATATTGTTTTAAACTTTCACTACCTACATACTTCATTTCTTAGTATCATGCTACTTTAGTCTTTTAAGTTTTGATCTACATTGATTGTTTAAATGTGTGCAGTAACATGCCGTTCTCATTAATTCTTATTATCTGGATGTTTATCAATGGCATACTTTATTACATTGCTATTCTAGAACTCACCATGATTAGTTCAATGTCTTGTATATACGAGACGGTATGCATATTAGTGTAAACTCTGATGAAAGCTAATTGAAAAGGACATTGTTCGTTGCTTGTATGTCTTCTTCTAATATTGGTAATGGAAATGTTTAATATTTTTATAAGTAACTTTATCATGAAAAGAATATCTGCCGTCTTCAGAACCTAAAGCATACAGTGTTATCTTAATAGAGTCTGTAATCTATCTGGCAAGTTCTCAGATATGTCTACCAAATCCCCATCAGCAAAATATAATACCTAGTTACCTTGAAATGATAAAAATTATATGCAAAGTTATGCATATTTGGTTATTCATATTAGAACATACGGTGGTTGACTTTTGCTAGAAGTTGATGGATGATTTTCACATATAGAATTTCGACTAGAACGTTGACCAGGTGTTGTAGGTCGTTGAAGTGGAAAGTTATTATCAAAATTATTATTTGATAATTTTATTTCATTGCCTTTGTTGTAAAGTGATTTACACTGATCCATACCATCATTGACTTCACCTTTTATCATAGTTTGCATTGAATAATGATGTTTTAGTAGACCTTCTCCAACCCACATACATGGATCATGTAAAATTGTTTGTGAACCACTTAAAGTAACTAAATCATTTAGATCTGGTGCAGGTAAATCTTGTCTATCCAAATCAGCTTCTAATATAGAGGCATCCTCCTAGACAAAATTTTAAAAATATGCTTATATTTATTCATGTTAGTAAAAGTAGTGTAATAGCGAAATTCACTAGTCATATATACGGCCTCTGAAACAAAATCATAAACTAATCCACGTGTTCAGTATGTAACAACTGGCAGTTAGTGAGTCAGTATCAACATGTAACCCTGCTATCACTTGATAACGGTCCATGTTTCCACACCTCATATCATCCCATCGAGGTAGATGGCATCAAAAGGAAAGATAAAGAAATAAGGAAGGAAGTAATCAAAATTACCTGAAAATGGTGATAAGAGAACAAGAAAGAATAAGACAATGATGAAATTCGGTGTAACCATTAACATTAAGATAATATTTCGATGCATTTGTGTCACAGATATCGATTCTGAGCTAAATTCCCTAAGGTCTCCTACCATCGATTTATATTTTCACGCAGATCCCAATTAGGAAGTCTACATTTCAGTACACAGTTCACACCAATAGTCAGAGATTTCAAGAAATGATGTTATGCTTGAGTTTGATTGCCTTTGACCTTTTTAAAATTGAACCTCCTTCGGCTAACATTGTGCAACTGAGCAGATGGTGACTAGGCATTCGTAGTTCATACCCCCAGCAATCTGAGTTAATGACGGTTCATAATCGCGTCAACTGACTTCCCTCTTCTGCCTAAACTTCTACGCCTGATAGATATTCTGCTGATCTGGTAGAACCATAACATATGACAGATGCTGTGGAGGTAACGCTCGTAAAATACTTGAAGGCTTCAGCTACCAGTCTTTCCAACCTTGGTAGATTAAGGAAGCTTGAAACATGTGTTGCATTGGCTAGAAAATTCAATACTAGATAAGATTATATGCAGTTACTGTGACTGCGTAACAATGTGAGTCTGTACTTACTCATAGGCAGTTTTCTCCACTGTCTTATAACTACGACAAAAATATCGCAAAAACATTATTATATTATTATTATTATTTGTCCCTTGGGTTCCTAGTGGAATATAGGGATTCAGTAACACGCCCCCATTCCACTCTCTTCTCTGCAGTCTCTTGAATCTGGCTCCACGACAAACCACAAGCTATTTGGTTCATTGCCAGCCAGCCAGACAGCCAGCCACAGTTCCTTGTTGCTTATTCTCATTATTCTAACCATCCATCTGATCTTCACTGTCAGTATCGAGTGAGTGTAGGCGGCATCTCTTCATGAATGTCTCTAGTTTCTTACAAATGCTTATCGTGACATGCCAAGTTTCTCAACCATCACATAACAGCACTGACTTACTTGACTGAATTGGTGTTGCGAATCCGGATGTTGTTCACACTTTATGCTGAGTGCAGTGCAGTGCAATGCAGTGCAGTAGATCTCCACACTGATCATTTCAGATTAATACAGCAAGTCCTGTATTGCTGTGTTTCCGATCATGGTTTTGACATCGTCGTCTGTGCCTATACGTACTGGTTGCTTATTTTAGTTAGATTAATGAATCTGTTGTGATGCAAAAATTACGGCGCATAATTGGTGAAGTTATGAAATTATAAATAATAAACAAAGTTTAACTATGTAAGGTGAATGGAGATTATCTACAGTAAGCCTTAAATCTAGATGTCACTTCTGATTCATGGCACTGATGTCCACTCAGAGATTTTAACAGGCACCATCCAGTATTGAATATTTTACAGTGACCAATAAATTCAATCCCATAGGTAGTAAGTCGTCGCTCAGATAGCTCAATGGTAACGCTTTTGGTTGTAGTGCTGGGTGACACCGGTTCAGAGTTCAAAGGTTACAGACATAAACGAAACATAAGTTAGGAGCTTCCTATTGGCAAATTCTAACCATTTAACATCAATCGAAGCGCAGAGTAGTACTGAGTCTCTAGATTTCATAGAAATCGATTAGCTCTGAAAATTAGACACCATGAAACTGGTTACTCTCTAGTTAACTTTTATGCATAAGATGCTCTTTCATATATGATCAAATTATATACCTCAAAATGATATCAAATACTCTTTGGACAGGTAAGAAACCATAATCCCTATTTTGATATTTGTATTTCCAAATGAGAATGTTAAACGAAGAAAAATTGTTTCGACTGACGTTTCGCTGTATTTAATGCTTCTAATAACTTTATCAAAGCTATAGTAAATCGGAATTTACAATATCCCTTAAGCTTATACATGGCAACTTGACAAGTATTCTTCTGCATGAATGATTCTCCGTTATCAGGATTACAGAATGAAGGAGATAGATATCCATATGTAGTGTGTTGTGTGTGAATTACAGATTAAGATTTGTATGTACCCATGTATTGATAGTCCTTATCGTATGTATGTTGGTTACATCAACATATGGAAGAGGGTTGAGACCCGGTCGAACACCGTTTTACTTTCTCATTCATTCCTATTTAGATGATTTTGATTCTATTCTGTTTGTGAAGAGATTCTGCTATGAGACATTTGTCATGATTTCTAAAGTCTATCTAAATAATTTCGATAGATTGTCAAAATCGACCTTGTGACCTGAAATTATAGTATGTAGAGCTATTGCTCTTAGGTTTTCAGTTTCACTAGATTTATAGAAGGGTTGGGTGGGAGAGCTTCGATGTTCATTTTCTCGAATTTTGACTTCACTAGAAGTTTGTCCTGTGTATATTGCATCACAGTTTAAGCAGTTTATTTTATAAACATTTAACTCTTTCATCTTCATCCGTTACTGGTGTGTGTACTCTCCTTAAGAGACTGGAGGCAACAGAAAACTTTCGCATTAATGGGATGTGATAGGTTGAAATCTAAATATTTGTTGGAATGTCTTGCTTTCCTGAAAATGATTATGCATAAATGTCCATTTTCCTTACGTTTAACATGGCAATCAAGGTGGTAAGGTCGTTCCCCTTTGTCCGCATTTCTTCTTCTGAGATGAATTCAATACTGGGAGATTTAGAGTTCAGCTGATCTAGGAGTGCCTGGTAGAAGTTACGTTTTAAAATTATGAATATGTCATCATCATCATCATCATCATCATCATAATTAAGTGAGTGATAAGACTTTCTTTGAATTTACTCATAACTAGGTTAGCTAATATGAGTGAAACAGATGAATCCATAGCAACACCGTCAGTTTGTTTGTATAGTTCCGTCTTATATGGGAAGAAAGTAGTCTCTAAGCAGATGATGCACTGGTATTCATTAGAGATCAGCCTGTCAATGACATGTTTGAGTTTAATAAACAAATATCTAAATAATGAACACCACTTACCTAATGCCAAAATCTTTTTCAAACCACTAAATCCCAACTTGGTTTGGATATCTATAAATCATAATCCTTATTCACTTGTAATGACTAAGTAAATGTCACCATCCGGTTAGGTTTTGTAGTGAGTCTCAACCCATTGAGGTGCAATAGTGAGCCTTCACCCAGAATCAAAGCATTTCTACTCACCTCGAATCAGTCGATAAGTAAGTTTTCGAAAAAGAAATTTTTCAAACTACTTACTCATAAGTAGTATAAATCCTATTCGGGGCATCTATCGATTCTGAAAATATTCCTACTAAATATTTCTCACAAAGATATTATTGGGTAAATATTGTCATCAGGAGAATTAAGCAGAATTTATGTATCTAAAAATAGGCAGTTTTTAATCTTCAACTGCCATGGTAACCATTGATTTGTTTCATTATTATTCAGTTGCACCCCTTCCAAACTTCTGTATTTTCATTTAATTTTTATCAACAATTTCATAATCGATTTCTATTTTATCTTCCCAACTTTACTACTTGACTCAGATTGATTTGATCTGAAAGCATGTGATCAAATTTAGATCTCCTATTTACATTATTAACTACTCATCACATATAGGTTACGTAATACTTTCAATACCATCTTTTGACTGGTCACATGTAGCAAGATGACAGTTTGATTACATAAACATAAGATAATCTCAATTTTAGTGATCACAAATGAGTTCATTTGAACTTTCTTAATCTGTATGAATTCTTTCATTATCTGTCATCAATAGAATATCATCTTCTTGGTAAGAGAATTATATGGATTGTATTTCTCTTTCAATACATCTCATAAATTTGTAGCCTGTATACAGTATACCATAAAACTAGACCATGTGGAATTCCATCAGAAACACTGAAAACAGACGATATGAAAACAATGGATATTCTCACACTACTACTGCAGAAGGTTTGGAAGGAAAGAAAAGTACCTGAACATTGGAAGAAGGGCTACCTTGCCAAACTCCCAGAGAAGGAAGACCTGAGTAGTTGCGAGAACTGGTGAGGAATCATGCTGCTGTCCACACCAAGCAAAATATTATGCCGCATCATCCTGGAGACATTAAAACATGCCCTGCTTTCAAAATTACCACCAGAACAGGCTGGCTGGCTTCGTAAAGAATAAATCATGTGTCAAACAAATTGCAACGCTACGATAAGCATCATCACTGAACAGAGTATAGAATGGCATACGCTGGACCTATGAAAAGACCCCACAAGAAGATTTGAATTTCGCTGACGATTTATGTTCAATGTCGCACAAACTCGAAGATCTACACGCAAAAACTAACAAGTTGACAGAAGAAACAGGGCACCGAAAACAAAAATTCAACTGAACCCAGAGAAGATAGAGGTGATGAAGATACCCAACCAACACCAACACCACCACCACCAACAACAACAAGCTCCAATCACCATCCACATGCGAAACATAAAGGAAGTAGTCTCTTTCACCTAACCACCCAACCACCCACCCAACTAGACATCATACTCTCAACTACAGGCGGCAACGGCGGCACAGACGACGATGTCAAAACCATGATCGGAAACACAGCAATACAGGACTTGCTGTAATAATCTGAAATGATCAGTGTGGAGATCTACTGCACTGCACTGCACTGCACTGCACTGCACTCAGCATAAAGTGTGAACAACATCCGGATTCGCAACACCAATTCAGTCAAGTAAGTCAGTGCTGTTATGTGATGGTTGAGAAACTTGG